GGTGGGGGGAATGAAAGAAAGGTCCAATAAATGACTTCTGTATGGAGAGGGCTCCAGAGAGCAACTTGCTGTAGCTTCAGCGAACAAAGGTTTCATTGTAGAAGCAGTTCTGCTCGCAGCAGAGGAGGGCAGCTCTGAAATCCCAAGCCAGACTGCAAAAATTCCTCACTAACACATTGAAAAACCTCACTGAGGAGTTACTTCCCCAGGCAATAATATTAACACCATACAGGGAAGTTTAATATAGCTTCACATCTGAAGTGAACAAGGGTTAAATATGCTATTTTATATGTGTAAAATCTGAAAATTGATTGAGGGAAGGAATAAGAAATTCTGATTCAAATGAAGACCCAGATCAGGAGATCAGTCTCGCTGGCAACCTATTGCTTCATTGTAAAAGAAACCTGTTTCTCTTACACCAACAGGTCTCCCCTTTCCCAAGGCTTTATCTCTTGCAACTGCAGCCCTGAAAGGGAAGACAATAGTTTTATGGAAAGTATAAAGCAGCAGTTTCTGCACATGAGGATACGATCTAAAAGCCTGCCTATGCAGGTACAAAACCAGATGTGCTTGCTAGGCACTCTCTGCATAACAGCACAAGCAACATACACATTTTTAATAAACTTTAGACTCTGATAACCTGCCTATTGCCATTTCATCCTGCAGGTATAACGTACAGAGATCGCTATCGTTTTTCCCCTATGGACTTTTTTCTTAAGCATAAGACATAAATGAGGCTTCTTACCTGAGCTGATGTGGCGGCTAACAGCTGACATAGGAAGAGAAGCCCAAGAGAGGAGAATCCAGCCATGGTGCCCAGGCTCTGCCTCTCTTCGTTCCTCCTGGGCAGCCAAAGAGTTTCTCCTCCGGGGTCCAGCAGATCCCTCCTCCTCCTCCTGGCTCTCAGCTTACAAAGAGAGACTCCTTGCCTCCAGATAAACCTGTGGCTCCAGCTGGAGGGGCAGAGCTCAGGAGCACAGGCGAGAGGGGCTGAGCTGGGAGGAGAGAGTGGGAGAAGGAGGGGGAGCAGCAGTCAGCCAGGAAGAGAGGCTCCCATTCATGCCCCACCGGGCAGCCCCCAGCCGTGGGCAAACACGGACGGAGCCTACGGAAGGGCTGGACTTGCACACACGCTGCAGGGGCAAAATTCGGCTGCTCCAGCTGGAGGTACAAAGGTGTTCCTTAGGTCTCACCTGGACCATTTCTCAAAGCCCATCACCACCTCAGTGCTGGACAGATAAAAAGCAACACAGAGTGAGAGTTACTCAGTGCCTGAGACTGCCTAGCTTCACTAGAGAAATTAATTGTACCTGTAACGAGTGCAAGATGCACTACAGAGAAATGCACTTACTGCTTTGCGACATGGTCTATTAGCTCTGGAAGTGTATTCACATCTGGTGGTTGGTGGTTTTCTTTTTTTCCAGGGAGATCTAAAGAATGCTAACTGATTTCTTGAGAAAGTGATGAATCCTCACCAGAGAACAGATGATTGCAGAGAGATACAAGGAAGAAGACAAAAGGAGAAACATTCTGAGAGGCTCAAAAAAAAAAAAGAGAATTGCCTTTGGAATATTTGCAAGGAACAGGATGACAGTTCCCAGCTAGGTGATCCCAAATGGCAATATATTCACAAAGACACAACCCCTACAAATAGCTTCACACTTCCCTTTATCAATTAAAGACAGTTTCATCCAAAGCGGGGCTTGGAAGTGGAGAGGAACAGTGACAAGATTCATCAGGACTGAAATGACACAGCTGATTTGGTTAGCAAGAGAAGCAGAAAAGTAAAGCTTAAAAAAATGAAATACCAGGTTTCAGTTTGGCATCCTTACGCCAGGAGGTTTCTATGAGCACACAGTGTGTGCCTGTCCAGCTCCCCAGCAGCCAATATTCCACCAGCCTCGACAGAGGGATTAAGGGCTCAAAGATTTACTAAGTTCCTACAAGATTTTGTGAACAGGCAGCTGGAGACAGAAAGGGAGTGTGTGTGTACGTGTCTTTGGATGGCTTCAAAGCAAATGGCACGCTTTATTAGACACCACAAACCCCGCAGAGGGAGAGCGGTGCAGTCGCACGAACTGCTTTGCAGAGCTCGTACCTCCTCCTTCGCACCGAGGCCAACCGATGGCACGAGCGAAGGCAAAGCAGATCCAAATTCCTGGGCCACGCATTGCTCATAGCAAGGCAAGGACTGAAGGGCTGCTGGAAGCAGAGCCTGCTTATGACCAGCAAGGGAAGAGCCCTGGGAGTATTCACCTTCAAGCCCACCCCAGAGAACAGGGGGAGGACAGGTCCTCCTCTCCTTCCACATCCTGGGGCAGAGGGACCACAGCTGAAGGGACACATCAACTTACAGAAATCATTACCACAAAGACACCTCTGTGCTTGTATCCAGAAGGAAAATGCCCACTAGACTAAAGCCCCTGTGGGCAGGCAGGGCAGCTGCCCTCAGGCCTGGTAGCCCCAAGAGCTGCTCAAAAGCAAAGTCCTTGTTTGCTCCACAGAGTATCACTATGCACACGTGGGAGGAGGGCAGCACAAAGCCAAGACAACGCACATCAGAACTTTTCAAAGCACATCATTAAACCAGAAGCATGTAGTGGGGTGTCTTTTCCCCACATTCACTGGCCACGTTTTACAGTGGTGGAGGACAACTGAGGATTGTCATCTCTACATGGAACAAGGAGCAGGTTTCTCTCACGGTGAGCCCACCAGACCTCTGCTTGGGAAGCTGGACAGCCCCACGCACCCACTTGTTGGAGGTGCTCAAGCAAGACCGATGGCTGCAGGGTGTGGTGGTAGAGGAGCAGGTATATGGTCAAGTCCTGCCCTCAGAGATGAAAAAAAACATAAGTGGAAACTGGTATGCATTCAAGTCATGCTTTAATAGGTGACATTAATGTGACAGAGTCTGTCATACATCTCCAAGTGCAGGAAAACATCCTGTGAATTCACTGCAAACATCTACAGCCAAAACTCTAAACCTGATCACAAGAGGGAACGGTTTGGTTTGAGCACTCCAGTCTAGGGCTCACAGTGAAATCCCATTAAACACAAAAACAAACCACACATCACCATAACAAGATATATCATCTATGCCCCAACTGAGCACATATTCACAATGAAAATTTCATTAAATAAAATGGCACTCCAGCCTAGGGCTCACAGTGAAATCCCAATTAAACACAAAAACAAAGCACACATCACCGTAACAAGATATATCATCTATGCCCCAACTGAGCACATATTCACAATGAAAATTTCATTAAATAAAATGATTATAAATCTGTACAAAAGCCATGATTAACAATCTCATGAATCTTTTATGAAAGAATTTTCACTCAACATCTTCAAGTATTTATATCTGTAGTTAAATGTATTCTTATTGGCTATTTAACTCCATTTGTTCATAAGAAAAAAAGTAGTATTTTAAAAATATTAAAGCCTTTTTCCAGCACATGTGTGACCATGAACATTAGATGTTAATCTTGCAGACTTTTATTCCCACACATGTGTATGTGGCATGCTGGGTCAGGACCTACAGTCTGGTAAGGCAAGTCACCGACCAAAATCCTTGAAAGATGAAGCTTCTTAAGAGCTGTAGCAGAGAGAGGAAAAACATTAACATTGCACAGGCTACTGCATCTGCTCTCTAGCAAGGCAGGCAAGCCTCTAGCCATCTCCTACACAAAACAAACAGCACCTCGAAACCCCAGAACTAGAACAAACAATCTGAGCAAACAGCAAGTCCAGACCTTCTGGCTGTTGGAAATGGTTTCCTCTGCTTCAAGAAACAGGTCCTCTGTTGTAAATCTCTAGGAATGAAAGTGCTAAATTGTTTAATGCTCCTTCAAACGCGCTTGAATACTGTGTAAGTCAGGCAGAATAGCCAACATGGAGGTCAGGAACATTAAGGCAGGCAAATAGCTGGCAAGATCTGAAAGTAAATTCTTGAGAGCTGTAAATAAATGAACCAGACAAGCGTACCCCCCTCCAATTAAAGTTTCAACTAACTACCCCACAAAGCCCAGTGGTTTCCAGACACGCTGCAGTCAAACATGCCCTCTGACACGCTGATCACTAATGGTAAAACAGTCTTGCCCTAACTAGGAAGTAGGTTAAATCTGACACATCTAACTTCATGCAATGGGCCTGCAGAAAAGAGAGGCCCACAGGCCACTGCAAATTAACAGCAAAGTCTGAAACAATGCCATGACAAATATTTGTTCTAATTTAGCAATAGAGAAAGGAAGGCCTTTGAACCAGTAGTGGACGTAAGTACCTGTGGAAGACTATCAAGGGTCTGAAATTAGTGTAAAAACCCGGGGGAGAAGAGCTCTAGATAGCTTCATACAAAGTCTGAAGCCATCAGACAATTCATATTCTCAACAACTCTAACAAGCACTACAAAGCAACTTCTGCAGGGGATAAAGGGTACAAGTTACTCGGCACTTTGCATCCTAGAGGAGGGTATTTTTCAGGTAAACAGCACCTTTGCCAGGAATAAATCTCCTAGGAAGGTACAGTCTTCCAAAACAACAAATAGAAATTATATGGTAACAGAAAGGCCTGGCAAATTAGGTCATGCTGTCTTACATTAAAAAAAAAAATCACATATTTAATAAATACTTGACTAGTTCAAACAAGGAAACAGATCAGTTTTCCTCTTTGCTTTAAGAAGGGACATACCAGAAACAAAGTGCAAAAATCCCTGTTGTTCCAAGACAGTCCTCAACATCAGATAAAAATCTGGAACAGGACACAGCCTGTCCATGAAGACAACTAAATTACAGTTTTCCTCTTTAGGGTAACCAAGGGCTGGATCTCAGTGAAGTTACCACAGATTATTTAAAAAGTGTGGAAGAGTGGAAGCTGGACAGGGGTTAGCCTGGATCAGCCCAAAGGAAGTTTATTCTTCCATGTACTTCTGCTATCCAAGTCACCAAAGCTGCCTCCTAGCTGTTAGGGCAGTATCATCTCCACTTGCTTGAGTGGTGGTCTCACTCTGCTGCTACCTGCTCTTCACGAGGTTCTGCTGCTACCTCAGAGCTTTCAGGTTTCTGTATTGTAACCTCAGTACTGTCTTCTTCAGGATAAACGGATGCCACGCTCTGCTCAAGACTCTCTGGAACTTGTTTCTTGCCTGTGACTTCTGCTTGTCCCTTCTCACTTGCATTTTCTTTTTCGTTCACTTGCTTTTTATGCTGTTCTACCCCATCTACCTCACTTTTGCCTCCCAGGAATGTGCTGTCACAGTGGTGCTGATCACTCTTTGCTGTGACTTGATCTCCACTTGCCTCCAACCCATCACTTATTGGAGAAGTCCTGTCAGTCTTGGGGAGCCTGGAATCAACCAGGGGTCTCACAACCCCACTATTCGCATCACTACCACCCTTCTCACTTGTCACTTCCACAGTTGCATTTTTCTCACTGACATTTTCTTTTTCAGCCTCAGCGTTTGCAACAGATGGATTTAACCGGGCACTAGAGGCAGAGGGCCCCATGTTCAGGTTTATGGCCAAGTGGAATGCTTTTGTTCTTTTATCAACTTTCCTTCGTTTTACAGCTGCATCAGTGGTCTCCAGCACCGCTGAGACTTTGGTGTTTGCATCGTCTTCTTTCAGTGTTTCCTGGTCCTCTTCTGCTTCTAAGAGTGGAAATGAGGAGGGGATTTCTGCATCAATTGCACATTCTCCCAGATTACGGGATATGTTTTCAATATCAGTAGGGCTTTTCAATGGCCCACTCTTTTTAGTGTCTCCCATATTTGCATCCAGTTTTCTCTTCTTGCTCTCCTTTGTGCAATCATTCTCTGTTATACCCTGCACTTCTTCAGCCTCACCGTTTAAATCCTCCTCCTCCTGCTGGGTAAATGAAGCCTCTTTTTCCTCTTCACCATCTCCTCCCTTCAAAACAGATTCACTTATCTTCTCTTTTACATCTTCATCATTCAATTTAGGCTGCAAGTCTGCAGCATCTCCAGCTTTCTGTTCTTCCTCTAGAGACTGGTTCCAATCCTTCTCCACAGAATCATCACATTTTTTACCAGGAGCCTCCTGTTTATCTTCAGTGTTTTGGTGCAGCCGTGACTCAGCAGAGAGGGGTCTGTACTTCAAGAGTTTGTTGTGCGGCCCCCACACAAAGCTGTCTTGAGGTCTGAAGTGTTGCCAAGCATAATGGACTAGTTCTCTTCTCTTCTGTTTGCTTCTGATGGTGAACAGGAAGTAATCCAAGGCACTTCTCCTGACATTTGGTAATGTCTCCTCAACAAGAGTTTCTGTTAGGAAAAACTTTACCAAGTGCACTTGATAGTGTTCATATCCCATCTCCCCCAGGCACTTCAGGATGCGAGTAATCCGCAAATTGTTGTGGCTGAACCTGAACGAAACAGATAAGCAAAGCTGTTAAGTGAAAGTCTTACAAGTCACCATGAACCTCCGGGGTATCTGCAAAATGTTTTGTGCATTATTGATCGTGATCTATTAAAGACTATTTGACAATGCAGAGCAGAGTATAGGTAAGGTTACTTTTAAAGCACCTACTGCTGCTGTCTGCCTTCAGCAGTACCTTCGTAGCCCTTCTTGGGCTGCTAGGATTAATCATCTCAACTGCTTGGAAAGTTTCTGGCTTTCTGCATCACCCACCAGTAGGTAAGAGCCACCTTACTGGGTCAGACACACGACTTTATGCAGCCCAATATCCCGTCCCTGGCAGTGACCCTGCAGGGTAAGCCTGTAGAAAAAGATAAGACGACAGGCATGTAGAGTTGCTGCCAGAAATTCGTGACTTAGGGACCTAAGCCAGACACAGGATTCTTTTTGGGTTTTGTTTGGGTTTTTTTTGGTTTTGTTTTTTTTTTTTAAAATTGACAGTCTTCAAGTCTGTTTTTCTTTTGTGAGTATGCCCAGTCCTTTTAGAGCCCTTGTTAATATCATTAGAGGCACCAGCATATGAAGGGTCATTACTATCTCTATGATAAGACCTGCAATAACATAAAAGCATTACCATCAGTTTGCAGAGCACTTTTCAGCCAAGGATTCAAAGCATTTTACACACATTAAGGCAGCTTTATAGACAATCAGGGAAGCATACGGAAGCATTCCTATTTTGTAATTTAGTAGAATATTACAAAGGCAATTTGGCTGCCCATTAAAACGTTTCAGTGATTCCTGCTTAAAATATGGGTTTAAACACAAGCTTTGCTAGAGCAAATGTTAACATCTCCAAGTCTGTATTTTGTACTTCAGGAGACCAATATGAAGAATGCCTACTGTTAACAGCTGCACTGGATACAGAAGAAAGTGAGCCTCAGCTGGTTTACTTATTATACTTGTTACTTATTAAAGTGACATGGAGTGTGATGACCTACAGTCAGAGGCTGATCCAAGTTAAAAATACTTCAGGTAGCTAACTTTTATCAACAAAAGCCTCCATTCCTCAAGGGTTGTGGATTTTCTTGACTCTGACTTTTTTTCCCCTGTCAAAGAAATGCCTGGCTTTAGTAAATGACCAGCAATATAGACAGAGACTCACCGGTTCAAGTTTTGAAATCGTTCAGCCCAATTCTCCGCTCTCTTAAGTTCTCCAGTTTCCTCGTTGAGCAGAACAATTCCATAAAATCTCAGCATGAGCTGATAAGCACGTACAAACCTTTGCATAACTTCCTTGGACTTCTTAAAGGCCTGAAAACAAGACAGACCAATGAGTACAAAGTGCAACTCCCTAATTACCTGCACCAGTTTAAGTGGCACCTGAATCACAAACAAGGCTTGATCATATCACTAAGCTTTTCGTTTGCTGGTGTAGCTACTGGCAGACACAAGACAGATAAATGCTTAACAGTGCTTGAGTGGTGCCCTAGTGTGAACTGAGCTCAAGAAAGCAATGTAATAAAACACTAGACTTCAAATACAAGGCATTTAGGGAAAATCCTAACATCCTTCAGATCTTAAAATAAAAAAGCTTGCAATACCTGGATTTCTTGACAAGTGAGTGGTTTGGCACGCCAGTTCATCCCATGTTCACGTAAAGGGAATAGCCTGAAGGGAAAGAAATATGCAGCCCTGATGAGCAAAGATGACATCCAACCCAGGGTACCCATTTTGTTAAAACTAAAAAAGATTCCAAAAATTGTGCTATCACAGGCATCTCTTGGAGATCTCACATCCTTATGGATGCAGAAGTAGTTTACTATATGACAAATAAACCCCTCCCATTAAAGTATTGTCTATACCAATGATAACATACTTTCCTTATCTGGATCTCTCTCGCTGCCCTAATACTTTGTTCCGTGGTATGCTGTAAGACCAAGCACGACTGAGACCTATTGCCACAGCTGCACTGGAAACCCATGTCTTCAGGATTTCCACTGCATTGTTTCCAGAAGAATATAACTCAATAAAAATAAAACGGACACAGGTTTCACTCAAGAGTAATTCTGGGCCTGTTGGGAAGCTGAATTCTGGAACACAGATATAAGCGACTCTTTTAAGAGGCACAACTAAAGAGAAGCACTATATTAATGCAGACAGTTTACCACTGTATGTAAGAATGGTTTTCTTCCAGGACTTCATAGTTGTCCCACCAAGATTCAAGCAGATTTTCAATATGCAAACCTGAAAAGAAAAGGAGAAAGTCAGGCAAGAAGAAACACCATCAAATGAAAACTAAAAGTCAGCCAGACACCCAAGGTAGCTCACTATCCACAGCCAGGTGTTCACATACAGGCATGAGCTTCTCTAACTAGACAACCATCCTGGTAAGCCAGAAAAAAACAAACACCTTAGTTTTCTACCACCAAACAAAGTTAAGGAACATACAGCAGGAACAAGGAGATTTCAGAATTCTTGGTGCAGTGTGGGTTTTTTTTTGTTTTGGTGGTGTGTTTTGTTTGTTTTGGTTTTTTTTAAATAATTGTCCCACAAGCTACTCTCTCACCAATTCAACCAGCTGCAGCAGATTGTATCAGTCAGTCATCACACAAGGTACTCACCCTGGGGCAAGAAACAAATCTCATTTTTATAAAAGCTTAAGTTCCACATCTCTTCTTCCTCCTTATCTTCTGATTCTGTCAGATCCTAGATATGAGAACAAGAAATCAACAAGCAGCAATCTTTTGAAAGGCAGCATTCTCTTCAACACATCTCCTTGCTTTCCCTCATGTTTCCTAAACATTCAAGCTAAACCCTTGAAACGTGTTTTGGGAAGTAACAGCTTGTTTCTGATGCACCCACATGCACATCATCCCTTCCCCCTCACAAATGAATCCATTAAGGTTCTGAGCCTGTCAATGTAAAGACAAAATGGTGCCCTCAAATTTAGAAAGTGTTCCTAAACTTAGTAAGCGATGAAGAAAAGCCACAAGAGTAGCTGCATCATCATTCAGTCCATACCGGGTAATGACGTCTGTATCTCTGCAAGTCTTTTGCTGCATTCCAGTTGCGCCTGTCTGAGAACTAGAGAAAAGAGACAGATCAGAGAACCAGAATGAAGTTCTCTTCCCAAAAATAAAAATCCACTGACTGATTTCAGTATCTCACACATGTTCCCCTGCCTATCACTCTCCTGTGCCCTTCACTCTGCACTCCCAGCACCCCCAAAACCAGCCAATTTGTTACTGCAGCTGTTTCTCTGCATTCCTGAAGACAACTTTGGACTAAGAGAAGTTCACATCATTTCCTTAACTCAGGCATTTCTTTTTCATTCTAGTCTTTTAATCAAGGTCTCTATGTTTTATGCATATCTTTCATGCCAGTTGGGTTTTCCTGCAGAAATGGTGAGAACTAGCTGGAAATCCCAAATAGTAAAATGTCATTTTCTTCCTTAACTCAAAGGTTTTAAAACAAGACAAACTAAGCTCTGCCTGTTTGTCTCTCTGAGTCACTATATACTCTAGTCAAGACAGAGATCAGACTTTAAGATTGCAGAATTTAAGAAGCAGAAATATCCCCTCAATTCAGCATTCTCATTCACTATAGACATTATTGAAATAAAGTCTTCTTCATCTTTGCTTTATGCTCAAGAGCAGCCTTGCTGACTCGGTATCATGCTGATCTAGACAGTGGACAATAATAGAGTCACATGGTCACATTAGATATTATTTCATGGGACTTCCATTCCAATCATCATTTTCATTATTGTTCATCTCTCCAAGTAACCAAACTTTATGTCAGGCCTACCTGAAAACCCCTCTGACACAGCAGTGACGAATTTGATCGTTGCTCCTACAAGTAAAAGGCATTTAGTTGGAAACATTTTGAAACCAAACTTCACTAATAAAATAAAAAAATATATACAAAATTAGAATACCCACAGCAGTGACTCACATGATCCTTATTAGTTGCCAAGTGACAGATTTACCTAGTTACAGCTGAATTCACTTGATTTTACTCATAATTCAAATTGCTATAGAGAAAAACCTGTGGTGTCAAGTCCACCTGACAATTAGGTGTCAGGTTCTCCTCACTACACAGGTGTGCTGAATTCATTCCAACTGTAGCATTTAGGCAGAAATCACAAAGAACAGCTTCATTTCCTCCTCTGAACTTCATGGAAATAGAAGTTGCAAGTATGCCTTAATTTAAAATGCATTTTAACTGAATTAAATACTTTTTTTAACAGTGGATTACTTCAAATGACAAAAGATCGTTACACTTCGCAAGCAACACAGACAGGTTTAATCTTGCTGAGTGCTGAACCATCTTGTCTCAAACCATGAAAGCACTTAGAAGTGTTCTCTCAAGGCAGAACCACCAAAACGAACAAGACTGCTCATGAATAAAAGGACCCCCCCAATGCCAAGCACAGCGCAGTTACGGCATTCAACGCCTGCTGACAGCAAGAGCAGGGTCTTTGTGGAACAGGGGTAAGATGCACAGACTCTTGCAAAATAAGCATTTTAAGAAACTTTGAAGAAGGAAACAGTAAACGCTCTCCAAAGTTATTTTTTAACTTCAATTGATTCTTCCTAACCATATTTGCCCAGAGAAAAATAAAAACCAAAACCACTTTCTAGTGAACAGGGAACATAGATCACTGGTTCATTAGTTATTGAGGCAGGAACTGGAGTAGATTTTTTTAACACTTCATTGTAACGAAGTCATCCATTCAGCAGCTCTGTTAATAGCTAAAATTTATGAAGCATACACAGCGTTTGGAACACCAAAGCTTTATCAGCAGAGGGAGGTCAACACTGCAGAAATTTTTAAAATTACATTTTAAATACACATTTACACACTATGATTCCCCTACACTTTGGTAGACAGGAATTAAATAAAGCTCAAGTTCTTTTTTTAAATGTAGTAACTTGTGATGACCTAAAATAACGCCCATCTACATTGCAACATATTTCGGTTTTATATGTGACCCCATAGACCAAAATACGTGGCAGACCTTTCCACAGCCACATGGCCCATACGAGAGTAGAAGTCCAAGCGCTGGCGTCCATCCCCAGAATCTACCCAGACTGCAGAAATGCACACAACTATAAAAAGCTTTGCTACACAGCTAACATTTGGAAAAAAGTAAGTGGCTGCAAACACAAGACTAAGAAATACATTCAGCCAGAACAGATCAATATTATTCCTTGCTCAAGATGTAAACAGAGACAAGGATTTAACACTTTGAAATTCATTGATGCTTTTGACTATAACTTTTGAACTCCTGGGATGAAATTGTGATACACGTGGAATTAACGAAAATTTTGTTCCTAATTACAAAAGAATCAATTTCCAAATATTCTTTAGACTTAAGGTTCTAAAATAACATCCTTTAACACAGTCAGGTGGGACAGGCTAACAGCAGACCGGCTCCAATTTCGAAAAAGAACTGGTTTGCTGAAGACTACATGTAGATATAGAGAGAGAGATGCAATGCCAAGGTGCTGTAAGGCTTGCCCAGAAAGAAGCTAGATGCAGAAGAAAGGTGTTCTGGAGCACAGCATTAAAGAGAACAAGAGGGGGAAGCAAAGAGAGCAAAATTCAGCCCTCCCTCCCAGCAGGTGTTGCTCCTGGGTCTCTATAAACTTCTATTTAAGCCACACAGAAACATAATCTTCCCTTTCTCTCCAGGTTAGAGAGGCAAACTAAACTGCAAGACTAAAACTTGCACGCATAAATCAAATCCCCTTATTTATCACAACACCAATAGGCAATCTAAGTGGGTTTCTCCCTCCAAACCCGCAAACGTGCATTGCTGTGCAAAGAGTGTGAAGAAAGCAGAGAACAAAGCCAGAAGACGGTAACACAAACAATATTTGGCTGAAACCTGCAAACCAGCTGCAACCAAAAGGGATGAAAGAACATGCGGATTGTGAACAAGGCACAGGAATGAGAATGACTACAATATCCTAGAAGAGCGATTGAAACCTTTTGTTGATAAAGAGTGAGGAGAATGCAGAACTTCAGAGCTCGTTAATATAAATGACGGCTCTGAGCAGCGCAACATGAACTCCACCTGCCACAGCAGACTAAGAGGTAGCCTTTTTAAAACAACCACAAGCCCCATGATTTTCAGCGCTCTTAGAAGCTAAAGCGCCAAAATGCAAAAGAGCTGACAAGACAGACCTGCAGGAATTTCAAACTGTGCATGTGGAGTATTTGCAGAGACACAAGTGAAATGCAAAGGTAAAAGTAGAATTTTAAGTTGGTTTTGAAAGTGTGTAGTAAAAATAATAATAAAAAAACTCTAACCTCAGTATTGAATAAAAACATTAGCAGCTTCGCCCATAAAGTATACCATCTAGGCTAAGGGGAGAAGAATGAGAATTAGTGCAATATAAGCAGAAGTAGGAACTAGTTTTGGAAAGTGATTCATGCCTTTGACAGGTGGTAAAGGCATAAACGGATAGCAGAAGATCTACTGTTTCTTTTTGTATCCATTCTCACTGCCCTTAAAAATTTTTCAGGCACTGTCAGGCAGAGGTGACTACACATTCATCACCGACGGAAGAACTCCTCTTTAAAGATGCAGAACAATATTCCAGGGGCCGTAAGTCTCAGGGACAACATCCTCCTTCGTAAGGCAAAGTCCGAAAAGTCCACTCACTGGAGTGAAAAAATGGTGCTTGCTTTTACAGTTGTCACAACGCAGAAATTGCTCTAAGAAAGAAAAAAAATATCTGAAGAACACACACATTCAAAAAGAATAATCTGAATGTTCTGGAGGCATTAAAATTTGTGAACAAAACCAGAACTCCAGCCACGTACAAGAGAAAATTGACAGTGTGCCCTCAAACAATGCAAATAACTTCAAAGGAAATCCCTGCCTCTTTCCTTTAAGTATTACAGCTATTCTGCCTTAAACACCCGTGACCTCTCACACATCTTCGTGCACAGCTAAGGCCTAACCACATTCCCTGCCCTAAACTCCATGAAGATGCAGAGACCTGCATGGGCATTTCCATCCACAGTATTTCAATTTTGCTTTTGTTTGCAAAGCATAGAGTGTATATTTTTGTAGAAAGTCACAAGTGTTTGGAATACTAAGTTGCACAGAACCTTTTTTTTTTAAGGAGAGGTTATTTTAATATCTTAATGCTTACAAAAATGAAGTTTAATATTAAACTCCTTTAAGAGTCTATTAATTAGAAAGCTTTATCTACCTATTTATAGTCTAAGAATACCGATGAGCCGCTGAAACGAAACTCAAGTGAAAGATTAGTTTCCCCTTCCCCGAAAAGGGAGGAGTTAAGTTGAAGGACTGGGGTGCGTTTTGATCGACCCAGGAAATACTGAAAAAAGAGAGACATAGTTTCGCACTTGCCAAAGCAATGCTGTAGAAGAAGTTACTGACACTCAATGTCAAACTCAGAAACACTGACGCTAAAGACAGGGACCTCAACTATAACTAACAGTTCCTTTCACTTCAAATCAATGGTATTTTAAGGCACCAGACACAAGTGTTCACATTTCACAGCAGGACATCACTCATTGTAACTGCACACACACCTGCAGTTTTTAAAACATCAGTGGGTATTTTTTCTGTTTTCAGAGTTGCTCTAAATATGCTCCCTAGAAAGAAAAAAAACCCATGTCTAAAAGAAATAAAAAGTTCCAGCTCATTTTAAAAAGCAAGTAGATGTTATGTGATAGCTTTTTATCAATGGCATGAAAAAAGCATACAAAAGGCCACCATACAAAGATGAAGATACCAACAAAAAAAAGCAAGGAGTTGCTTAAGAACATTGATGCCATAACGTTAAATCCAGTGGCCATCAGAATGTGGTGAACAGGCAGGTGCCACACAGAAGACAGAACTTGTATTTATGGGATGAAGTATCCAGATCACGGGGGGGGGAATTAAAACCCAGCTCATGGCAGTGTAATAAACTTCAGGGGTCATAAAGTCAGCGCACAACTCTGCCTTTACCACCTCCAGAGCTCACTTCTGAACGGGCCTCAGGTCATCTCTTCTCTTTGAAGACTAGCTTCAAGATGAGGATAAAATTATATGCTAGTGACTGCTGCCAGGACAGACAAAAAACCTTTGACTTCCCGTAAATATTTCAAGCTGCTCCAGTTCCCGATGATAAATTAGGATACTCGAGAGAGGGCTCTCAAATACACTGACAGCACACAGAGGAGGTGGCCTAGGAACATCCACGCGTGGAAACCAGTGGCACACGAGAAAGTACCTGAGACAATCCCGAGGGATACGGTAGCGCTGACGGTACCGACCTAGCTGCTAAATACCTAAACGGCTGCCTTCGCAAACGCATAAACGCTGCAGCGAGCGGCTGTGGGCGCGGAGCCCGAGGAGCTCGGGGCGGGCAGGGGAAGGGGCTCCCTCACCCCGTCCCGCCCCGGAGGGTCTGCTCCGTGCCCCGCTCCCGCCCCGG